GTTAAATTAAAAAAAATTGACAAAAATCATGATTTCAAATTAAAACAATGGCTTAAACACATATATTTATTTCCAATTCCTCTCAAGACTCTACTAAAAGAAAAACATTAAGGGCAAGCAATGTGGCATGGTTGGTTAAGGCACCACCTGTGATGCCGGCATCCCATGTGAGCGCTAGTTCAATTCCTAGTTGCTCTACTTCCCATCCAGCTCCCTGTTAACGGCCTGGGAAATAAGTGGAAATTCCCAGGTAGGAATCCCAGAATAAGCTCCTGGCTCCTGGATTCAGCCTGGCCCAATCCCAGGCATCGTGGCCACTTGGGGAATGAATCAGTGGATGAAAGATCTCTCTTTCTTCTCTCTGCATAACTCTTTCAAATAAATAAGTAAATCTAAAAAAAAAAAAAAAGGAAAAACATTAAAAATGTTCAAAGGCACAAAGAAAAAGAGAAAGAGAGCAAACAGGATCAGACTAGATTTTTAACAAATGTCTTTGATATGAACAGTGAGTGGCCAGGTGGTACACGGCTTAGAACAGGGAACAAAATGCCAGTACCTCAGTCCCTGCTTGGATTACACTATGCCTCTGCTCAACTCCTGGCCCCATTCACGCAGGGTCAAGCCATTACGCCATTAAAAATATATAAAAATATATATATAAGACAAGTCTCCTATTCTTCAGAAGGTGAGAACCCAGAGGGCAGGGAATGTGTCCTTTTTGTTCATTTGTCCTCCAGTGCCTAGGATTTCCTAGGTTTTCCATTAAAAAGGCAAGATGTATGAACAAAAATGAAATATATGAGCAAACTCTCAGAGGGAACAGATTCTAAGGTGGAACCTTGGAAATTAGAAGACCCTCTGAACACTGAAATTCAGCCAGCCAGGGCTGAATGTAGGACAGATTCAGTCTTTCTGTGGATGGCCAATTCCCCTTTTCCTGCCAAACCACCACACCTCCCTAACCCGGTAGAACCTAGGAGATCCGCCCTCTGGAGGAACTGAACCAGAGAAGTTCCACACTGGCAAATTTCAGATATAGCTGTGTTAGGGTAAGGCATGGTATTAAAAAAAAAAAAATGAACAATTAATTAAGCAAGATCACAATGTAGGGGAAATCTCTCACATGTAAGAAATGGGTAAAGCTTAGAAAAAGGAAACTCTGAGGAAACAGTGGCAATGTGGGGAACATAAAGGTGACACAGGGTGACATGGAAAATAAATCTATTATTCCCCAGTGAGCTCATCAGAAACAAAGATGTAATGAAATCTATTCCATTTCCATCAAATAACATCAATTAAGATTTTATGGCTGGTGCCACAGCTCAATAGGCTAATCCTCCACCTAGCAGCACCAGCACACCAGGTTCTAGTCCCGGTCAGGGCACCAGATTCTGTCCCGTTGTCCCTCTTCCAGGCCAGCTCTCTGCTGTGGCCCGGGAAGGCAGTGGAGGATGGCCCACGTGCTTGGGCCCTGCACCCCATGGGAGACCAGGAGAAGCACCTGGCTCCTGCCATCGGATCAGTGCAGTGCGCCAGCCGCAGCGTGCTGGCCGCGGCGGCCTTTGGAGGGTGAACCAATGGCAAAAGGAAGACCTAGCTCTCTGTCTCTCTCTCTCTCTCACTGTCCACTCTGCCTGTCAAAAAATAACAAAAGGAGAGAGACTTTATGACTCTGATGGTAATGCACCAACTATAACAAATACTTCCTTATCCCCAGAAATTCAATGTGGATACCACTGTTTTGGGCCTTTCAGACTTGACAGTGGTCCTTCCAGGTCACTTCCTCCCATTCCACCAACCTGGACAGCTCACAACATCCCATACAAGTCGACACAGTGAGACCTGTTCCTCTACACAGCACCAAAACAAAGCCAGATCAAGGATATTATCAAAGTCAAGAAAGAAGTGTCTTTTGTTGATTAAAAACAAAATGAGAATACTACCCACAGAGGGCACACAGTACTAAAGAGCGCCCTGTTCCCTTGGAGGTGGACTCTGTCCTGTTCCTCCAACCAAGATGTTACTTTCTTTTATGGTTTCTCATATTGGCATGATGTTCTATTGGGGGGGGGAGGGGTTTGCCGTAAATCTTCTCTCCTCTTAAACATGAAAAAGTGAACGCTATGGAAACAGAGCTGAAATCTTCTGAGACGCCTAGTACAAATCTCCAAATATAAAGGTTCATGCTTGGAATTCTCTCTCTCTCTCTCTCTAAAGATTATTTATTTGAAAGGCAGAGTAATAGAAAGGGAGGAACAAACCCAGAGATAGAAAGAGAGAGAGAGAGAATGAATCTTCCATCTACTGGTTCACTGCCTAAATGACAACAGCCAGGGCTTGACCAGGCTGAAGCCAGGAACTCAGAACTCCACTAAGGTCTCCCATAAGGGTAGCAAAGGCCCAAATACTTGAACCATCATCCTCTGCTTTCTCAGGCACATTAGCAGAGAGCTGGATGAGAAGCAGAGCACCCAGTAGAACTGGGGCTCTAATATAGGCTGCTGGCCAGTGAGCCACAGCTTAACCTGCACCACAAGGACGGCTCCCAGTTGCAATTTATAATAAAAGATCATAGGCCGGCGCTGCAGCTCAATAGGCTAATCCTCCGCCTGCGGCACCAGCACCCAGGGTTCTAGTCCTGGTTGGGGCACTGGATTCTGTCCCGGTTGCTCCTCTTCCAGACCAGCTCTCTGCTGTGGCCCGAGAGTGCAATGGAGGATGGCCCAAGTGCTTGGGCCCTGCACCCGCATGGGAGACCAGGAGAAGCACCTGGCTCTGGCTTCAGATCAGTGCAGTGCGCCAGCTGCAGCACACCGCTGGAGTGGCCATTGGTGGGTGAACCAACGGCCAAAGAAGACCTTTCTCTCTGTCTCTCTCTCTCACTGTCCACTCTGCCTGTCAAAAAAAAAAAAAATCACAGACTATCTTCCTCTTGTTTCTAAAGTACGATATATTAGGCCAGCGCCGCGGCTCACTAGGCTAATCTTCTGCCTGCGGCGCCGGCACACCAGGTTCTAGTCCCGGTCGGGGCGCCGGATTCTGTCCCGGTTGCTCCTCTTCCAGTCCAGCTCTCTGCTGTGGCCCAGGAAGGCAGTGGAGGATGGCCCAAGTGCTTGGGCTCTGCACCCCATGGGAGACCAGGAGAAGCACCTGGCTCCTGGCTTCGGATCAGTGAGGTGCGCCGGCCACAGCGTGCTGCCGGCGTGGCCACTGGGAGGTGAACCAACAGAAAAGGAAGACCTTTCTCTCAGTCTCTCTGTCTCTCTCTCACTATCCACTCTGCCTGTCAAAAAAAATCTTTTTTAATTAAAAAAAAATTCCTGAGGTGGGCATTGTGGCATAACGGGTAAAGCTACCACCTGTGATGCCAGCATTCCATATGGGTGTCAGTTCAAGAACTGGTTGCTCCACTTCCAATCTAGCTTCCTGCTTATGTGCCTGGGAAAGCATCAGAGGATGGCCCAAGTGCTTGGGCCCCTGCACCCTTGTGGGAGACCAAGAAGATCCTGGCTCCCGGCTTGGAATCTGCCCAGCTTCGGCCATTGCAGCCATTTGGGGAGTGAATCAGCAACAGATCTCTGTCTCTCCTTCCTCTTTCTCTCTATAACTCTGTCTTCCACATATATAAATAAATCTCTAAAAAATAAATCCCTAAAACAAAAGTACTTTGTGTCTGGAACTGTAAGAGAGATGGTAAAAAGTATCCTTGTGTTTGTGATAAGACTTGCAAAAAGATAAGGAGGGACAGATGTTTGGAGAAGCAGTTAAGACACAAGTTAGGATGCCTGCATGCCACAATAGAGTGCCTGGGATCCAATCCCGACTCCCCCTAAAGATGCCAGTTTCCAGCTAAAGTGTGCCCTGGGAAGCAACAGGTGATGTCTCAAGTAAGGAGTATGCAAGGTAGGGATGGAGAAAGAAGAAAGAAAAAGCAGATAAGATGCACACCATCAGCAGTGTCTGCCTGTCTCGGTGCTTTGAGGCTGGGGGTGGGGAGAGGGTGTGGGGGCAGTGTTCCTGCACAGCTAATCAGGGAAGGGAAGGGCGAGCTGCTGCAGTCTCCGCTCACTGTCCTGGACGCAATCCTGAATGGAAGCTTAGTGTTGACAAATGCTTAAAGCAGTCACTACTTGTACTCCAGCTGGACTTATTCCTGGGATGAGAAAGATCTCCGTGAGGGCGGAACAAGGCTGCTGGAAATGGTACCTGATGGCTCCTGTCCTCCCTAACACTCCTAACTTAAAAAGATGTTGTGTTGGAAAGAAGAAAAAAAGAGTAGCAGATCCAAAAAGTGTGATTTGCCAATAAGCATTATTCCAATAACACATCATTAAAATAAGAACAAAGAATACCAACTAGCTGGCTGCTGACCAACTTTATCAACAGTTCCAGGCTTTACTAGCAACAACCAACCAAGACTGGTAGGTTTCTCAAAGCAGGAGATATCGACGGGAATTCTCAATGACCACACAGCCCCTACCTCTGATACGCAAGGGGGTCAGCAGGTTGGGTGAACAATCAGTAGTCAGTAATGGTGACCACTGAAGAATAAACAAATTTAAATTATATCAAGACTTGAGCAATTAAAATGTACGTAAAGACGGACTTGGAGGTCTATCAAGGAAATGAAGAAAAAAATCAAGCAAATCACAAACCGCCCTATGGCTGCAAACGAGCTGCTTGCCCAGTTCTGCCCCGCCAATCACTTCAGTCCCACCCGGGTAAGGACGGGAGGCGAATCCCCCAGGTGACAGGAAGCGAGCGGGCGGTCCCGGGCCCCACGCCGGGCCCCTCGCGCCTCAGCCTGGCTGGAAGGGCGTGCGGGGTTCAGTCCAGCCCGGGGAGGGAGGGCGGGGATCCAAGGACCGAGGGCCCTCCGATGCGGCAGGTGGACGCGTGCAGACCGAGTGAGGCAGACCCGCCGGCTCGCCGCCCGCAGCCCCCATCCCGGGTGCTCCGCGAGCCCCAGGCCCGCGCCCCGACGCCCGCTGCCGGGTCACCTTCTGAGTGCTCGAGCCGCGGATCCGCGCCGCCCGGTCATAGACGTGGCAGCGGATCACAGAGCTGCCCACGTCCAGCCCCAGCACGAAGCCAGCGCGCGGCGCGTCGGGCGCGCTCTGCTCCGGGCCGCCGGGCAGCCCAGACATCCTGATCCTGCACGTCGCTCCGCCGCCGCCGCCGCCGCCTCCCCCGAGCCGGCGCGCTATGAGCGGCCGCACCTCAGGGGCCGAGCGCGCCCTGCCGGGCCGCCGCCCCCGGCCCGCCCCCGGCCGCGAGATCCGCGGGCGGCCCCGCCCCTCCGCGGGCCCCGCCTGGCGCCGTGACGTCACGGCCGCGCGCCCGGGGCTGCGTGGGCGGGCGCAGGGCAGAGGGGTGTGGTCGCAGCCTTGAGTCAGAATTCTCTCTCCTTCCGTGCTTCCCGCGTGGGCTGAGCTGGGCGCTGCCTTAGCCCTTATAATTCTTTCTCTAGTAACTCCTAACACCTTGAAGCCGCCTCTAGTACTAGGAAAAGGAAAGTGACTTCAAACTCGAGGTCCGGCCGAAAGTGTTTATTAATAAACTGCGGGGTCCACCAAGACTTCTCTGAAGACGTGGGAGCGTTTGAACGAATCTCACGCGTCAATAAATACATGGTACACGAAAGACGAGTACGACGCATGGTGCAGGCGGCCCGAGCGCTGGCCGGAGAGGACGGAGGGCCCTGAGGCGCTGGGTGGACACTCACGTCCCGCCCGGGCTCGGTGCAGACGCCCTGCACCTGCCTTCCGCGGGCAGTGGCCGGGTGGTGCAGCCTGCTCCGCCCGCCCTCCATTGCAGCGTCACCTGGGAGTACCTAGGTTTGTCAGAGTGGGATGCATATGTGCTTTCTGTGAAGGTGTGTAACAGTGCAGAGTGATCTCCCGAGAACGGGGGCAGGCTTTGCGGTGCAGCCAGTTAAGCTGCGATGGTGCAGGCATCCCATATCGAAGCCCAGGTTCAATCCGTGGAGCCCCACTTCAGATCCAGCCCCCTACTGAAGCACCTGGAAAAGCACCAGAGGAAGATGGCCCAAGGGCTGGGGGCCCTGCACCCACTTGGGAGACCTGGGTGGAGTGTTTGGCTTCTGGCTTTCTTGTGGCTTTTTGGGGGAGTGAACCAGTTGATGTAAGATTCTCTGCCACTCTGCTTTTCAAATAAATACATCTTTGAGGGTCGGCGCTGTGGCGCAGCGGGTTAACGCCCTGGCCTGAAGCGCCGATGTCCCATATGGGTGCCTGTTCGAGACCTGGCTACTCCACTTCCGATCCAGCTGTCTGCTGTGGCCTGGGAGGGCAGTGGAGGATGGCCCAAGTCCTTGGGCCCCTGCACCTTCATGGGAGACCTGGAAGAAGCTCCTGACTCCTGGTTTCGGATCTGCACAGTTCTGGCCATTGCAGCCAATTGGGGAGTGAACCATCAGATGGAAGACCCCTCTCTCTGCCTCTCCTCTCTCTGTGTAACTCTGACTTTCAAATAAATAAAAAAATCTTTTAAAACAAATAATTAAATACATCTTTTAAAAAAAAAGTATCATAAGCCCAGTCATTCTGTTGGTCAGGGTGTCCTTGTAACCAACTTGCTTTTTACCAGTTTAACCAGATTGGCGTTTTGGCCTTATAACTTGAAGCTTTATACCCTGTCCTGTAGTACCGATTTGTTCTAAATGGCTTCAGGTCTACTGTTACCAGCACTAACCATTTTGTTCAGGAGTGTGTATGTGTGTGAGAGAGAATTCTCAGTATTGTAATTTGAAATACATGACTAATGAGTCCTGCCCTAGTCAGGGTTCTCCAGATAAATAGAACCAATAAGGCAGAGAAAGAAGGTTTATTTTAAGAAAGTGATTCACGCCATGGTGGGGCCCGGCAAGTCCTGGAAGTCTAAAGGACAGGCTGGCGAGCTGGAAATTCAGGCAGATTGTGATGACGCCCGGTGAGAATTCTTTCTTTGGAAATCTCAGTGCTTGCTCTTAAGGCTTTCAGCTGAATGAATGAGGCTTACCCACATTAGGAAAGGTAATTTGCTTTCCTCAATGACCATTGATTTAAGTGTTTTTTAAAAAAGATTTATTTATTTGAAAGAGTTAATGAGAGAGAAGGAGAGACAGAGCGATCGTTCATCCACGGTTCACTCCCCACATAGCTGAAATGGCTGGGGCTGGGCCAGGCCACAGCCAGGAGCTTCTTTCAGGTCTCCCACCTGTGTTGCAGGGGCCCTTGGACTTTAGCAGGGAGCTGGATTGGAAATGGAGCAGCTGGGACTCAAACTGGGCACCCATGTGGGATGCTGGTGCTGCAGGCAGTGGGTTAACCTGCCCACGGGGGTGGGGGGGCTGATTTAAATGCTAATCACACCTAAACAAGCACCTTCATGGCAAAGACTGAGCAACCATGTAGTGTCCAAATAGCCTAAAATAGTTAACACCCAAGATTAATTGCCACAGTTCCCCATTCACAACAGAGAAAACTTTTGCCCTTGTATAGTCTGAAGTTGACATTTAGCATATTTCTCAAAATGATATTTATTGAGTTTCTTGAGCTATGACATTTCATGTTCATTTTTTAGGGATGATCCCTGATTTTTTTTCCATATTTATGTATTTGAAAGGCATAGTTAGAGACAGAGGCAAAGGGGGAGAGAGAAAAGTCTCCCATCAATATTCAATATTAATACCTACAAAATGAACATAGGGGTTGGTTCTGTGGCATAGTGAGTAAAACCACTGCCTTTAGTGCAGGTATCCCATATGGGTGCTGGTTCAAGTCACAGCTTCTCCACTTCAGATCCAGCTCTCTGCTATGGCCTGGAAAAGCAGTGGAAGATGACCCAAGTTCTTGGGCCCCTGCACCCATGTGGGAGAACCAAAAGAAACTCCTGGCTCCTGGCTTTGGGTCAGCCCCGCTCTGGCCATTGCAGCCATTTGTGGAGTTAGCTAACGAATGGAAGATTCTCTGTTTCTCCTATCTCTGTAACTCTGATTTTCAAATAAATAAACCAATCTTCTTTTTAAAAAAAAAAAAATCACTTGGTCAGGTGTTTCTTAAACCATTTCAGTATCTTGAAAAACTCTTGAGACCATGATGAATGCTATCTTCCAAGGAAGATGCTTTCTGCTTGCAAAAGTTTGCAGGTAACTTGCTGGGTGTAGGGTAAACTAAATATGAAGATCTCAGACAAAAAGTTCAGAGCTGATTCCTCTTAAGGGGACTGACTGCTGCTCCTGAGGAAGGGCCTGGGAGAGAGAAAGAAATGCTGTATTCCTTCCATATTCATTGCTCTCTGCTAGCACCCCTCACCCCGCTCTGCCCTTAGGGGAAGAAATATATGGGCTGCAGGGCCCACAAACACTCCTTTCCTAGTGCGTCAGTTCAGTTCATTGTTCTTGACTCAGAGACTACTGCTGTTGTGAGCGTTTTCACCTTGTGACCCTGACCTTCATCTTGGACCGGCTGCTTCTGTTCCTCAGATTTTGGACTTGGCTGCTCTCCCAGGCTCTTTCCCCACCACTGTTGCTTCTTTATCTTCTTAGAGCAGGCCCAGGATTGCAACTCGGTGTACCAGCTTCCCACCCTCTCAGGAAGACTGGATACAGCTCTTGAGTTGCCGAATCAAAAGGTATGTGATAGTCACCATTCCCTGTCACATGCCAAAGGGAAATGAATGGTAGTTCAGGTCTGAGACCTATCCCTTCTATAGAGACCAACTGTCCCAGGTTTCCCATGATTGGGGAGTTTTTTGGAACCCAGGACTTTGAATGCTAAAACCAGGACAGTGCAAACCAGAACAACAGGTCATCCTACTCCTTTAAGAAGTCTCAAGGACAGCAGTGCCCCATCAGGTGCTCCTGGCAATGTCTTGGACCTAATCTTTGTCCCAGCATTCTCTTCACTACTCTTCCGAGGTTCTTGGGGCCTGCAGGTGACTTCCTTTGGGAACTCTGGCCACATCATGTTGAGGTGTTGGTTGCTGCAGTTCAGTAGTGAGTGCCTTGAGGGCAAAGATAGGCCTTGGTCTTGTTTTTCCTCTATGCCACAGAGAGTAGGCAAGAAAAGACTGAATGAATAAATGCATTATTGTGTGCAAGTCCCTACCAGACCTCATTGCCTGCTTCACTTGGTCACAAGACACAGAGGCCCTGAGCCTTATCTTTTGCCCTGTGCTAATCTGGCCAGGCCATCATATGATGAAGACTGTCTGGCCTGTATGTGAGGCCTGGAGTTGGGCTGGCTGCCCTGGATAACCACATGAACAACAAGCCGTCTTTCTCTTAACCCTTGATCTATGAGCCCAACCTATTTTAGGATGATTTTCTGCCTCAGTTTCCTGACTTGACTGTGTCTGGAGCCTTAGCCTGAACCCCTCTGTGGGACCAAGGTAGACGTGCCATGAAGGGAATGAAGCTTGCCCTTCGGCCCCTCACTTGCATGGCCCTACCAAGCCCTTCAGGAGAGCCCTAGCCAATGCTGCACTCTATGACTTACACCATTTACATTTCTGTGTTTGTTTTCCCAGAGTGAACCCATACATTGTACACATTTTAGGTCTCACAACACCTCCATCCTCCTCAATCCCTGAAATGGTCTTCAGAAATTCCTTCCTTCCTAAGACCTGAACTCTGTCTTCTGAGTTCCACTCGGGGGTCCAGAATGCTGCCATGGTATTTCCTGATTCCTGCTAGAGCCCCCCGATTCTGCCATCAGCTGAGACTGAGTCTGTCTTCCCTGGTCAACTCTGTGAGAGTGACAGTTTTATCAGTGGCTTCTCTCCTTGGGACCTGCCCCATCGGCTGGCTGCTTCCTAATGCTCTAGCCCTGCTCCTTCCTCACCACTGCTCCGCTGAAGTCCCAGCCTGCCTGGCTGTTGAACCCATTCACTCCCTGGAGCAGCTGAGTCAGAAAGAATGAGAACGAAGAGCTTCAAATGCTCAGGCCTGATGTCCATTGAGGTCTGGAAGTAAAAGAGAACTTTTAGACAAAAATCAAAGCGAGAACTGAGGAGTGAGGGGTAGGCTCAAGATACAGGAAAACCCTGACTAGAGGAAGTTTTTTCATAGAACTTTGTTTCAGGCTTCCCTAGCAGGCAAGGCACTCACGGGAAGAAGTATGTGAGCTACAGGGGACAGGGCCCCAAGGCTTCCGAAGGCCCCTTTGCTTGTGGGTCAGGTTGGTTGGTTCTCGATCCAGAGGCTACTGCTGCTGTGAGCTTCATCACATGGTGGCCTTGACCGTCATCTGGACTGGCTG